TTTCTCCGTTAAGAAGAGACTGCTGTTGTAAAAACTGATGGGGGAAGGAAGCAGTCTGCAGCCATCACTCCCACTGCACATGCAGATTGTGTAATATTTATACACTCCGATCTGCAAAGACTGATGATGCCAAGACAGCAAACAAGCTACGGAAATATGTTACTTGTTCTGCAGAGTCAGATTTCTAATGAAATTTATCATCAGGAATGAAATCCCTAGCGTGCTATTAGCAGGTTAGTTAGATGTAGCTGAAGAATAATTTATTCAATAGATCAGAATTAAAGAGAATCTCCACTACGTTCAACTTCTATCTAAATTGACCTCATAATATTGACACCTGTGAGCCAAATAGTTGTATGCATCTATGGAAATAAGACGCTAAGGCCTCAAGATGGACCATTACAAAACAATTTTCAATTAAAGCTTGTAGCAATACAACCTCAGTCATCTACTAAGTTTTGTAAAGCATTACCTACATTGTGTTCTGTATTGGCCTTCTCTATTATGCTGTCATACGGAGAATGTCAAACTGATAAGACAGCCAAGGGTTCCTGGTCTGCTGGTCACATGACATGTATTAGAAATCTCTTTGTTCTAAGTCTTGGTCTGCACAGAACTTTGTCTGAAATTCTGAGGCAATGACGGCAACATGAAACCACAAAGTTAGTAGACCAGTAAGTTATCACTGTCCAGCAGGGTTCAGGGGAAATCCCCATTACAAGCTGAATTATCCATTAAGAAAAGACATAAATTTACTTCCTTCAAAAACATTTAATATGCCAGTGTGAAATGGAAATGCCTGATTGTAAGAACCTAGAGGATTTAGATTGACTTTGGGTTCAATGAAAGCGGTAATACATTCTATACTTAACTCCTTGGTTCCGAGCGTACTCAAATATGTGGCCTCTAGGTGGGTGGGCCTTGACGCTGAGGGTCCGCATATTTGTGTACCCAACGTAAGCAAAAGATGTGCCAAGAGTGCGCCCTGCATGCTCACGGCACATTTACCGGCATCTCAAGGAAAAGGTTCTGATCAGGAGCCTTCCAATCATGTGACCGCCATGACAGCCAATCATGGTCCCAAGACCCTAAACCCCACCCCACCTCCCAGCACCACAACCCCTTAAAGGGCTGGGAGGCACCAGCGCCAAGGGGTTAAACTTGTACCTACAGCTAAGTTTACAGTAAGGCTTGCCTGTAGGTAAAATTAATATCTCCTAAACGAGCACCATTTAGGAGAAATTCACATTTACAAGAGCAGCAGATGATGTCATCAGCGCATGCGCAGTAACACTCTGCATTCAGGGTACACAGAGTATGCCCTGGAAGGCAGAAAACCACGCCACAATCGTGACTCCCACATGCATGCGCAGGAGGGATGTCATCACAACTTGGCCATTCATGCAGCCACAGCCCTCAAATCTGGAAGGAAGACCAGGCGAAAATGGAAGCACTGGCAGCAGTGGGAGCGTGACACTGATGGGCTTTGTTTGACAGTTAAGCCTGCCATAATGTGCTAGTATGCAGTCCAGAATATTTTTCTGTTTTCTTTAGAGAGTTAACTACTACTTTAACAGACATTTAACATTGCTTTTTGGTCATTTTCTTTTCACCTTATTTAGACCAACACAAGACAGAGTTAGACATCTAGGCATATTCTTTGCTTTGTAACAACTGTATACAGTAAGAAAACCAGTATATATCCAAGGCAATAATAACAATAATCAAAAAACAGGTCAACACAGAGTAGACATACTGTATATATAGTGCCAGTGGAATTCCATGAAGCAGCATTCAGAGTAAGTTGATGCCCCCTTTATTGTGGTCTGTATTTTAGAATTATGGGAGAAGGGGAGGAATATAGAGTACCACACAATTAATCCTAGATGTTTAACACCTTCCCAGCCAGTGTCATTAGTACAGTGACAGTGTATATTTTTAGCACTGATCACTGTATTAGTGTCACTATCTCCTACAAAGTGTCAGTTAGTGTCAGACCGTCTGTCATAATATCGCAGTCCCACTAAAAGTTGCTGATTGCCGCCATTACTAGTATAAAAAAATAAAATCCAGTATATAGACCGCCATTTGTAGATGCTATAATGTTTGCGCAAACCAATCAATATATGCTTATTGGGATTATTTTTACCAAAAATATTTAGCAAATACATTTTGACCTAAATTTAGGAAGAAATCTGATTTTTTAAATTTTTTATTAGATATGTTTTATAGCAGAAAGTAAAACATTTTTTATTTATTTATTTATAGTCCAAAAAAAACCTGAGAATTCTTAGTGTTGTAAAAAGACATATTGTTGTGCTTGCATCCTATTTGGTGTGGCTCAGCACTAGAAATTAAACTCCTGTTAAAGGGGAATTCAACTTTTTGCTCAGTAAAGATTTTTGGGAAAAGCCAATCACATTAGCAGGAAATGGGATATTTGGTAAAATTCTGTATTCAGTATATAGAATATATATGTCCCCTTTGGGGACTGCTGTTGAATTGAGTCCCCCTATAGTCCTGCACAGCTAGTCATTTGGCATTTTCCAAACAAACTATCATCTGGAGACAGAAACTAGTCCGTGAGCTTTGGTTTTGGTATGTTAGAATGTTAGGAGAGATGTTTAAAGGGGGAGGAAAAAAAAACTGAAAGAAAAACACACAAACTGATGTACACAGCAATGGTTAAAAGAATAGGATTAGACTAGAGATAAGACACAGCAAAAGCAAAGATGGGATGTTGGATAACGAGTGAGGAATCCCATGTCTGAATTAAGGCCGTTATCTCTTGTGTCAAATGGAATTATCATTCTTAGTTCAAAAGTTTTCCTTTCCTGAATAGATTTGAAATTTCCTTTAAGAACTAAAACATTGAGGTCTTCCATAGTGTGGTCCGGTTGTGCGAAATGGTGTCCTACAGGTGTGCAAAAGTCATCTTCCTTTTGTTCCTTGATGCAAATTCATCCTTGTTTGCAACTTCTGTCCTGTTTCGCCAATGTAAGATCCTCTGCTACATTTTCTACACTGGATAAGGTACACAACATTACTAGAGGTGCAGCTGTATGTGTTATAGAGTTGTCTACATTCCTGTACATGAAACAGTATGATCCGGAAACAGACATCCTGCAGACCTCAAGTAATGTTTTCCAGCTCTGACCAGGTCTGGACACTGGAATCTATTGTGTTTTAGTTAAAATAAGAGACTTTTTTGAAGTCTGTTTAAAACATACAGCTACAAATTCCATAATTTGCAGGAGGAGGGAGGGAGGAAGGTCACTGCTCTTGAAAACAAAATGGTTGAGACCTTAACAAGATGGCTATTGCGTACAACTTCCATGTCCCTATTGCGCACAATCATTACTGTGCCGTACACCAACTGTGTACACAATGCCTCCAGGTTGCCATATTGCATTGAATTTTACAGAAAATTACAGAGCTGCAGATTGAAAAGGAAAAGTAAATTTTAATAATATTAAATTACAATATGGCTTGTGTCACAATTATATATGTAATTATTTAAAAGTTGCTATATTTTCTTCCCCCAATAGTATAGTTTAAGTCCCACCCACAAATGGCCACACCCCCAAACCACCTTCCCCCCCTGTTGTGCTGCTTAATTCCTTTTTTTTTTTTAATCTGACTATTTCAGTATAATATATTTGGTTAGGATTTCTGGAATGGATATAACTATTTCAGCTGTCGCACCCGTATTCCCCTTATGAACTGGAGTCATTTTCACATTTCCTCTATGCACCTTTTGATGAAAGAATAACTCAGTCATTATTTAAAACTAATACATACATAGTTTTCATTTTTAGACAAATAATACTTCTTTTGTACTCTATAGATAAAAACCATGCAAAAAAAACAAAGAATATACTTAAATTTTTCTAATTTGACCACTTTTGTATTAAAACCAACTCTGTTTACGCTATAATTTGTTTCCATTTTTAATGACTCTGAAATTATGTTTACAGAGCATGGTAAAGTTATTTACTCATGAAATAAAGGCCTTTTTTAAAAAAAATGTGCCATCTTTAATACATTGCTACAAAAATAAGCCAAAATGAACATCAATGAAAATAAAAATGTATACAGCAATGGTAAAAAGGAAAAACAATGTCAATAAAAATAACGCAGAAAAATAATAACCAAAGGAAATAAAAAGTTAATTATGATAATAATGTTCAGGGCTTTTTTTTTCCTCAGAGAATAGGTGCAGAAACTCCCCCCTTCTAAATCACTTCTTGTATCCTCTCCCCTACCCACCTCAGAACACAGTCCCTTGGTTCCACCCCTACCCACCTCCCACTACTGCCCCTTATAGAGAATACATGGCCAAGTATAATTTTTTGGTGCAAAGTAATTTGTTTGGAATTTGTTAATGATAACAAGAAAAGCAGTAAAATAGATTCCTTGCAGCCAACAGCAAAAGACAAAATACCACCCCAGCAATAATAGACCCCCAACAGGAAGAACAGATATAACAGCAGCTAGCATCAATAGACTCTCCAGCAGCCAGCAACAATTGACCCCTCCGTCAACAGTAGATCTCTTCCAGCAACAATATATCCCCCACCAGCCAGTGGTGTATTTTGGTTTTGTGCTGCCCTAGGCAAGTCTAAAATCGGGCGCCCTCCCATCTAAATTTGTCCCACCCTTTCCTGTTTAGGATCCGGTCCTTCATCTGTAAACCTCGTCCCTTCCTCTTTAGGCTTCACCTCTTCCTATTAGAGCTCCATCTCAGGAGTTGGTCAGAGACTGTGGGCATGATACAGGAGAAGGTCAGAGACTGCGGACATGATACAGGAGATGGACAGAGACTGCAGACAGGATACAGGAGAAGGTCAGAAACTGCGGACATGATACAGGAGATGGTCAGAGACTGGAGAGATGATACAGGAGAAGGTAAGAGACTGCAGACATAAAACAGAAGATGGTCAGAGACTGCAGAAATACTACAGGAGATGGTCAGAGACTGTGGACAGGATACAGGAGAAGGTCAGAGACTACAAACATGTTACAGGAGACTGTCAGAGACTGCAGACATCATACAGGAGAAGGTCAGAGACTGCAGACATGAAACAGGAAATGTTCATAGACTGCAGACATACTACAGGAGATGGTCAGAGACTGTTGACATGATAGGGGAGAAGGTCATAAGACTGTGGACATACTACAGTAGAAGGTCAGAGACTGCAGACATGATACAGGAGATAGTCAGACTGCAGACATGATACAGAAGGTCAGAGACTGTGGATATGATAAAGGAGATTTCAGAGATTGCTGACATGATACAGGAGAAGGTCAGAGACTGCAAACATGATACAGGAGATGGTCAGAGATTATGGACATGATACAGGAGACGGTCAGAGATTATGGACACAGAACAGGAGATGGTCAGAGACTGCGAACAAGATACAGGAGAGAATCAGAGACTGCGGACAGGATACAGGAGAAGGTCAGAGACTGTGGACAGAATACAGGAGACGGTCAGAGACTATGGACATGATACAGAAGACGGCCAAAGATTGCGAACAGGATTCAGGAGATGGTCAGAGACTGCAATCATACTAGATGAGAAGGTCAGAGACTGCGGACGTGATACAGGAGAAGGTCCGTATACTGCAGAAATAATGAAGGAGCTAAAAAAAATACCCTGTGTGAGGATCAATCAGATGCCAGGGGTGGCGCTGCCCCCCTGAAAAAGTCACCTCACAGCAGATACGCCCCTGCCGCCAGCAACAATAGACCTACCCAGCAACAATAATCCACCATGCAAAAATAAATACACCAGCAGCCAGCATCACTAGACCTTCCAGCACACCCCAGCACCCCTTGCCATTATATACATTCAGTGCTGGAGGAGCCACAGCTGCGTTCCTCTGCGTTCCCGCTGAAAAAAAGCCCTGATAATGTTAATAGGGTTAAAGTGATATTAAAAGCAACTTCTAATAACAAACATGTGATATGTACCTGCTCTGTGCAGTGGTTTTGCACAGAGCAACCCCGATCCTCCTATTCTTGCGTCCCCCACCAGCGCTCCTGGCTTCTCCCTCCTACTGAGTGCCCCCAGAGCAAGCACCTTGCTATGGGGGCACCCAAGCAGGCTTGCTCCCAAGCTGCTGCTCTGTGTGTTCATTCGCACACAAAGCTCCACCCACCTCCCTCTCTTCATTGGCACGCTGGCTGTGATTGACAGCAGCAGGAGCCAATGGCTATCACTGGAAAGCTGAGGCTCTGGTTCACATCGCTAGACCACGATGGGGCTCAGGTAAGTATTAGGGGGGCTGGGGGGACTGCGGCACACAGATGGTTTTTTACCTTCATGTGTAGAATGCATGAAGGTAAAAAACCTTGAGCTTTTACAACCACTTTAAATGGTAAAAGATATCTCCTGATTTTTTTTTTATTTTCAAAGGAAAATTGACCCAAAATGGTAAAAAAAATAAAAATAGGTTGAGCTGTATATTTTTTTTATTACATTACTTACTACCAAAGAACAACCCAAAATAAATTCTCCTGCTCCTGATGATCACAGTGATACCCATAGTTGGGCTTGTACCCATAGTAGGGCTTCAAAACGATGCACATTTTCCTTTTTTTATCCTATGTACAACACACTGACACTAACTGATAATGATACTAACTTTAAAAATGATTTTTTAAAAAAGATCCTACCTAAAAACATACTGGCTCTGAGCTTTGACCCTGACCATGACCCTAACACTAACCATGGCATTGACCTAGATCAAACCTTGGTCTAGGTATTTTTTTCCTTGCTTTTTATTTTATTTATTTATTTATTTTTTTATACACACTTTTGTTTGTTTACATCTTTTTCTCCTGCAAGAAGAGGATATATTATGTATCTTTCTCTCCATTTAGGTAGCAGAGTGACTGATCATTGTGATAGCCAACCAGAGGCTCTCAGAGTGATCAGTTGGCTGGGTCCTGATGGCTAGTACGAGACCCTGGGCTCTTGTGGACTCCCAGCACAAAGACAGGTATGCATACATGCGGCCTCATGAACAAAGACCCACTTCTGTGAGGCTGCATATATGCATACTGTCAGCGTGAAGGGGTCAAAACATTTTTTTTACTTGCTATGTTACTTTAACCCCTTCATGATCAGGGTCAGAGCAAACCTAAATGCACAGACCTAATTTTGCATTTTTGATGTGTTAGTAAAATTGTACAAATCATCACAACTACTTTGTATACCTAAGTGAATTATACCTTGTTTTTTTTTTTCAGGACTGAATGACTTCTGTACAACCATCCTCTTGCATTTTCCCTGCTAGATCCGTGCCTCAGACTATGGCCAGCAGTGCTGATCAGTGTATTCTGATGGCTAGGAGATCTCCCCACTGTCAAAATACAAAGGCTCAGTGTGGAGGATTTCCCCATCCATATCAAATGTGTGGATTGGGGAATCGAGTACATTTTTGTTCAACATGCTGCTGCCACTGTTGGGCTGCTAATGCCTTCCAAAGAGCAGGATTTTGATGGGGCTGGAAGCATTTGTGATTATTACAGTGATTTCTACCGCTGTTTGATAATCTCTTGGTGACTGGACTGATTCTTTCCTTCTTCTGAGAAAGAGTGGTTTCCTTTTGTTGGGCGAGTTGCATGTTTTGTGCCTGAACTGCTCCATTGTTTGAAGATGAACAGATTATTCTCGCTCTGTCATTCTCATAAAGATATCAATCATTATACAGCTAACTCCTCATGGCATTGCAAGTCTGTATTAAGCATCCAGTTTCAGCTGTAGAGGACTTTAAGAAAGTGATATCTGAAGCAATTTTTTTTATCTTTGTGGATAACGTATTAAACCATTTTAATGTTATTTTGCATGAGTCTGTACTAGGAGGTTTGCTCTCTCTTTATGCTGGAGACCAACTGGACCTTCACTGGGGCAGAAGGTAAACGAAAATGTAAATGAGTTGCCACCAGAGGAAGAATACAAGGGAAATCTTCCAAAGGGGACACTTGTTTCAGCAACTATTTCTCTCACTTTCAAGATACTATCACTTACTTGCTATTGTGCATACAGGATAAAAAGTAATAATTGCCCACTGGGTCAGAAGTGATAACAAAAACCTGACAGGGCGTTAAAGTGGTTCTAAAGTCCAAAGTTTTCTTTTTTTAACCTTAATGCATTTTCTGTGCAATAGCAGCTCCCCCAGCCCTCCCCCCCTAATCCTTACATGAGTCCATTCTTGATCCAGCGCTGTCCCATCTGCAGCAGATTTTCTCTACTCTTCCTGGTCTCACAGGCTCACAGGCTTTGCTGATAGCAGTGGAAGCCATTGGCTCCCTCTGCTGTCAATCAAATCCTGTGAGGAGAGGGGGGTATTAGCTGCACTGCATGTATCTATAGAAGCACACAGCACCAGCTTTAGTGCCCCCATAGTAAATAGTTTGCTGTGGGGACACTCAGAAAAAGAGGAGAGTGCTGGCAGGGGGACCCCAGACGTGGAGGATCAGGTCCGTTCTGTGCAAAACAGAGAAGGTAAGTGTAACATGTTTTTCAATTTAGAAAAAAAAATTGGTTTAGAATTGCATAAAATTTTATATATATTATATATATATATATATATATATATATATATATATATATATAAAAAGCTTGTTTGGCTTCCCCTGGCTAAAGCACATTGTTTGCTGACCTCACAGAGCTGGTCCAAGCTGAGGAAAGATTGCGAATACATAGTTGAGATCCACTGGCACCTGGCTCAGCCTCTTAGCGAGCCGCTGAGAGCCTGAGCCAGCTGTTCCTACCCCCTCCACAGTCCAGCACTCCAGTAAGCGCTGGGGGGGCAGAGCATACAGTGGTGGCTGACAGTCCCAGCTCTCTGCTTAGAGTGGCGAGGAGAACTGAGTGATCAGCGGTGTCTGGTTGTTCAGTTCTCACTTAGAGCTGGCAGGGGACAGATACAGCATGTAAAAAAAAAATCACATGAAGGAATTTTTTGCTTTAAATAAAGATCATTAATTTCTAATATTAAAAAAAAAATTGTTACCTGCCCCATGTGACATGTATATGATGCGGCTCAATGTTAGCGATTGACAGTGGAGCTCTTATTCTTTGCTTCCCTTTTGCTGCTAATTAGAACTAATCTGAAGAACAGCAACCAAGTATTGAAAAGGCCATAGTGACAATGCATACGTATATTTGACAGCATTTACTATAGTCATGATGGCCACACCACGTAAGCCAGATAAAACAGTGGAATAAAGAAGATGTGCAGAAATGTCACATGGAGCTGCTGAGAAAATTTAAAGAATATTGATAAATTAAAGCAAGAATTGTGTGTGCATGTGATTTTTAAACTATTGTAATTATATTTAATTTTTTTTTTCTACACTTATTCACATGACTGCCAGAGGACCTATCAGCTCTGCATGGAGCACACAGCACAAGCTTGTCTGGCAGGGCAGGAAAGTTTGTTTTCTGTAAAGCTTTCAGGCAGGGGCATATTTACCACAAGGAATTTGCCTAGGGCGGCATGTTTTGGGTGGGGCAGCATCTCCCCCAGGAAGAAGGGACAGAAGAAGGGACACATGCTGCACGGGGACCAGGTGGGATCTGAGAGAGGCTGCAGGCTGCTTGATGGTGTATACAGAGCCCAACTCTTGTTCCCAGAGATGTTCAGAGCTGTGAAGGTGAGTGTCTGTCCCTTGCCGGTAAGGGGGGTTGTATGTTAGTGGAAGGCTCTCATGGGTGGTAGGGGGCAGGGGTGTTGTTGGTCAATGTCAGCCTTTCTCCATGGGGGGAAGGGGCGGGGTGTTGGTCGGACTCAGGTGCTTACTCCCCAGGGATGGGGGGGGTAGCGTCTGATTATTTTTGTTGCCTAGAGCAGCACAAAACCAAAATACACCACTGCTTATAGGTCTCCTTCCCACCCCAACCAGTGACTGCACAATAAAAGAAGCAGCAGCAAATTGATGGGCTCATCTATCTGTCACTCTGCTCTATCCTCCTATTAGCATGTTCCTTGTTATCATATGAGCATTGCAGCACAACTGGCTGGCTTTTTGTGCTGCTTCTAGATCTCCCAGTCTGAACTCTACTGCATGGGGGATTGCATGAGACTAACACCATATAAAATGCAGGTACCACTGCTTTCAGTTAAAATATACTACTTCATTATAATATTTTATGTGCAGTATTAATGAATACAGAGCTGTGTCAATGTGTATCTCTTATATCCGAATTCAGCTGTGAATTGTAATATTGATTAAAAAAACGTTTTATGTTGTGAAACATGTTTTGCGACATCAAAGGTTTCCACCCTGTTATTCATCAATTATGGTTGTACGGGTTCAATGAA